ATCCAATTTCTTTCTTCACTAAAGATAAAATTTTCTTTAAAAAAATAGCTTTAAAGAAATAGTTATTTTGCGTATGACAGATTTGATTAAACAATCTGATACACACAAATGCCTACAAAAGACAGCAATTACATCGAAATGGCTGGTCAAAGTGATTGTTAGACTCGTGACATACAAACTTATTCGAGAAAGGAAGAATCACTGTGCATATATTAGCCATCGCAAATATTAGTTTTTTAATCTCAAAGACAATCTCAACCAGCGTGCCATTTATCGTGTCCGAGATTCGTCGGCGGCGATGACGATGCGGTCTCGTCTTCTCGTCGATCGGTCTAGCTTTCCAAGTAAGGAAGGAGGTCAGACGCTAACCCCGAATATATTCTGCATAGACGCGCGAAGCGCGTCTAGCCGAATGAACGAAGAAAGAAGAAAATCTCACGTCTCTTGTTTTCCCTTTCTTTCGATTTTTCTCTCTTCTTGAAAAAATTTGATCGGTCCCATCGGGCCCGAGTGCGGGCGCACTTCCGCGTCGTGGCGATTATTCTAATAGGAGCTAGGCGTCATTACGAGCCAACGCGGAAGACTCGACACGGAGGTGGTGGACGGCGCGGCGTAACATTACGCAAACGCCCGAGAAAGATTCCACTTGCACAACACGCAGCGCGTTATTACGCTCACGTAACTTTATATATTCGCGCCGTACGTCGCGCGTTACTTTTACAGTAATACCGCTTAATCGCTCGTTAAGGAGTCGCAAATCTTCGTTTCGCGGCCGCGTCCTCGCGCGGGGCGCGAAGAAATCACGCTTCCGGAACAAGAACGACTGGCGATCGCGCGACGCGGGCGATCCGGAATGATACTTTCAAGGTTTCTGAAGGAGAAGCGAATGGCTCGTCGAGAGCTACGGCGGGATCCTTTTTGCAAAATTGTTCTTGCGCACGATCATTTTTAACATTTTAAAATCTTATTCTTAGACATTAGAAGTTCTCATGAATTGAGTGTGAAGTTGCGTGTAAATAGAGTTCTCTTTAGAATAAAATCGTGAAGGAGTAAACATGAAGTTTGCACTGTATATCTTTGAGAAAATGAGGAAATGTGTTCGTTAAACACGATATTCCGTCGTTCGTCGTTAGTTAAATATAATTTGGAATTGTTAAGAGTAATTAAAAATATATGATTCTTTATAAATAACAAAGGATACTTGTCTTGAAAGGATTAACTAATTAGTAACTCTTACGTGACGTATACAAAGAGAAAAATTATAATCGGTTGTATTTAAATAATTATAACTTTGTTTTACTCTTCGAGTCTTACGTCTCAATTGTACACAGCGATTAGGCCATTATTTGCAATTATCTTTTATCTTGGATAAGTATCACTCATGAAAGATTCTTCAATAATTATTTAACGCGCTTTAAATAGCATTTTTACTATATAACTAATAGCAATAACGTTAATACGTAATTGTAATCAAATGTTGAAAGCCCTTTGTTGGCAAGCTTTGCCAATTTATTAAGTGATTTATTAATGATTGCAATTCGTCACGATTATCAAGAGAGATCAGCGTACAACAGTTCCGTGTTCAGTGCTACATTCATGTATAATTTTCTGCAACTTTGTAGCAAATTTTTACGTTCCGTCTCGGTCTGTTAATTTTTTTTATTAAACAGTTACTTAAATTAGCATTAAATTATGCTACTCTAATGATATTCATTAATCAGGAATAAATTACATCAATCTTAATTACGTAAATGTTTTTTTCTTTCGTGTAGAATTAGAATTCTTTCATAGAATTCTTTCATAAAATAATAAATATATATAATAAAGAATGTACAAAATAAATCCTTTTCTATTTTAAATCACACTCCGGATAAAAACATTTACCTTCATCAGCAAATATTTAAATGTTTTGATTGATCATTAAGCTAATCGTTAAAAATTCATTTAAAAAAACATGAAATAATTAATATGTAAATTAATGAAGCGTAAATAAATCAATAGGAATTAAATCGTTTCGAAAAAACACGTCGTGTTTGTGCGCAGAATTAGATATTAAATAAAGTTAATTTTAGCTTAATTTTTTCCCGAAGATTTTTTTTCTCACAAAAAGTCGAACCAAATTTTTTACAGCCAAGAATTAGGCCATATTTTTCTCTTACTGAGAAAGTGTGTCACGGAAGTTGTATTCTCCAATTGTTCGAGAAAACCAGGTATCCGACACAGACCGACGTCTTTCGTCATAAGCCACGCCACCGGCACATAACGGTATGGATGCTGTGAGTGTTCGTTGATTCCCTAACGGTGCGACCTATTTTTCTATTATACTACTGCCATAGATACATTTCGTTTGTGATTCACTTGAGCGGTACTACGAACGATTCGGGCTTTGCTTAATGACGTTTGCACGGAATAAAACCAATGCATTTAGGACACCGAGAAAGTATGTGAAAGTGCAACCGAGCGAAAAATTATTGCGTGTTGTATGCTTGAACATCGTATGTTTATTTTTCCATCATTCAGAATTTTCATCATTCCATCATTCATAAAGGATTTGAAGCGACGATGTGGAAAAATTGACAGACGAACCATTGAAGGAGAATAACTTATAAGAAAGATTTAAGGAAGTTTTTTCTAAAAATAGTTTCAAATTGCCAATTAAGTCATAATAGTCCAAATCCACGATCAACAAAACAATAAAAAATCTTTTAAAATTGCGGACGTTATGTATAGATTTTTTAAATAGATTATAAATTGAAATATTTATCATAAATTTAAAATTTTTATCATAAATTAAAATATAAATTATAATATGTAAGAAAATTTTATAATTATTTAAATGTATAATTATTTATTCAGTGAATAAAATTATATAACTTAAAATTGAACACATTGATCTATTACTTTTGTATTAATTGATTTTAATTATAGAAATGCGTTTTTAATTTTGTTATTATAAAAAAAATTATTATAAAACATTAATAAAATTAGAAGTACATTAAAGACAGAATGTTTTATGTAAACAATTTTATTTGATATAAATAAATAACTTTAAGGATTATTTTAGTTTTACCAATATTTTACCAATATTTTAGTTTTAACTATTTGTTTAAATTTTTCCGAAGGATCTATTAAAAGTTATAAGAATAATTAATTACATTTTTCTTCAAATTTAAATATATTCCTTTTAATTTTAAAATTTTTTATATTTAATTTTTTAAGTCTTTATTTCTAATCTAATATTCGAATCAATTTAGTATTCGAATACCCAAAGTTTTAATAAATGTCAAAATTATTGATTTATGTTTTGTTACAGCGTTACTTGATATTAAATAAAAAATACATTTGCTGTTTAAGTAATAAACTTGTAATTAACTGTCAAGGATAATGAGATATTTTATAAATAATAAATTATCCTAGGAAAAAGTAATTAATACAACTCTTGCGTCAATCCTTGTCAAGGTTTTTACTTCTTCTATGATTTAGAATTTATTATCATACTATTATTAATATGAAAACCAAAAATCGGAGGTACAAGGCAAATTTATACAGCTCAATTAGCATGACGACGGCAATCAACCTGGAGCAATACTACTAAGAGCAATGTAACTTGAATATCCTCTTATGTAAATCATGATGCCGGTCGATTTCTCGTCGTAGTCGGCGCGAAGAAAGAAGAGAAAAGTCATGTAAGCACGTTGTATGTGTTTCCTGAAGTAGATGCTAACGTGGGATTATTAAACTTTGCGTGTGTCGCCCGTCGAGATTTGGCCGTTAAAAATATGCGAAATGATTTCTCTCGGTAAAACTGACTTCTGGTAAAACCTGCCAATCGAAACTGACCGAGGTTGACGACAGATAAATCTTATCTACTTCTTACAAGGACCGTACAGTTGTCTGTTTGCAGGATACGGAAAAGTTACACTCTTCCGCATATAAATTGATATTAATTGATATTAATTGTTTGTTAATATAAAGATTTAATTATCGAGAATAAATTATTATTAGTAAGCTACTTACAGGCTGTAAATCTTCAAGCTATCAGTTTTCAATATTCTTGAATATTCATCCATTAAATATGCAACCTTCAGATTGTTTATTTTAGTATTTTATTTTATTATTTGTTATTTAGTTGTATATTTAGACCCGATTCTCTGACAATATCTCTGACCGAATTGTACAAGTAATAAAATACAGTTGATTGAACTTTATAAGTTAACAAAGCGTATGCGCAATTAACAAAACGATTATGTGAATCGTATTGTAGCAATACGACAGAAACAACGCAATCGTCTTTTTATGTATGCACGCACGTCTTATTCTTAATGCGTGTGGTTCTTCTGTATAGCTACTTAGAAACCAAGCCAACAAGAATAGTGATTGCTTTAATATTAAAGTACATGTATGTAAATAGTTGCGGAACGATGTATTTATCAGATGCAGAAACAAGATTAAATTATTCGAAATAAGATTAAAATAAGATTAACATTACACTACGAAATTTTCACAAGAAGAAAAGGAGCAAGTCACGAAGAATTAAGAAAACTAATCTCAAAATTGTACTTTTTACAACCAGCACAAGAAATATATGTATTCTGAATAAATAACTCTGGGAATTTGAATTTCAATATTACTATAATATACTATATTACACAGTTGTACAATCAGTATGGATGTGTTATAATTACGTGTTATAATTATACTAATATTACACCTTGCGCTTTGTCCTTTTGAATTCGACAAGTTTGTCCGTCCATGGAAAAATTAACGATCTGACACGGATCTCAAGTCGTGCGTGCAATCTCCGCGTGCGTAACAACAGTAACATCATAATTATTATTTTCATTGCATATCTGATGCCGCCTTGCTTTCCGCATCCCGTAATTTTCACATTAAGCCGCTATTAGAGCGCGCACAAGATAGTCACAGGTGGTTTCCCCGTTACGCGAAAAGTAACCGTTGTCGAATGTCACACGGTCAAACAAAAAGAATGCTGCACGTACGCGGAAAGATGAAGAAGCGGGGACCACATGGCTGGAGCTACGCGTTGGCCAAATTTTAGGAGGAAAATTGCAAAAGGCGCCAACCCTCCTCCCCCCGATCTCCGGGTGTGACTTTGCACGAGGATTTGCGATGATGAAACGTTGGAAATTCCAGAGTGTCGCGTTCGACGATTAAAAAGAAGACACTGAAATATTAAACATACTAATTGTGATAATTATTAAAGTCGAAATATCGTATTTGTAAATTTGTACGGTTTGCGAAATAAAAAAATTTCTTAATCGACAACAATACACTTTTATTCACCGATATATGAATAATGTATTCATCTTAACCCAATGTATCCCAATGTTTTATAAACTTATCTGGTGGATCGTTGCTAATTGAATTAAATAGTTTTTGAGATTGTAATTTATTAATATATTGGACTTATATTCATTAATATATATTTATTAACAGTGTGGCATTAAGTGGACTAGTATAATTGAACTAGTGATGATATAATTTTGAAGTTTCGATTTATCATGTTATTTGTCCGCTCGATTTAGATTAATAAGCTTTAATTATATGGTGACTGATCTTAGAAAATGCATAATACAAATGTAGATTGTTATTTTCAATCTTGAATTTTTCCGACTACGACACGCTCAAATATCTAATAAATTGCTCCATATAGATTATTTTATTTTATAATTGTATAACAATTCTATATAATATTTAAGCTACCAAAACTGAATATCAGTGAATTTTATAATATCTATGTTTTATATATTAAGAACTTAATCACATGAGCAAAATAACGAAAAAAAAGAATTAAAGAAAATAGGAAAAGAAAGTGGATATGCGAATGCGTATCGAAGAGAAATCAAAAACAAAAACTGTGACAAATAAGTGGAATGTACGATTTAAGTATTTTAGTAAATAGCCCAATTCCCATTGGTCCGGAAAGAGGAGAAACGGTATATTTTACAACTGTTTCTAGAAAAAAATGTCACAATACTTCGAAGTCCCGTTCATTATTTTTCTTTCGACTCGTAACTTTTCATCAAGAAAGACCTGTTGTCTATTGTTAATATCATGCCCATTTCTTCAATACAGATTAACTTTAATTTTAGTTTACTTTCTTTCTTAATTCTTAAAATAAAAAAAAGAATAAAAAGTAAATTAAACTGAGATCAAAGTTAATATCTATTGATAGAAATGATCATTGATACAAATCCAGATTTAATAGATAATTTTTAAATTACAAAAGTTCAGATTTTAAATAAAATTTATCGACATAAAAAATACAAATCGATATTTAAGTAAATGATGAAACTTTTAAGAAAAATAAAAAATATTCCACATTTATGCAGTGCAGGATCCTTTTGCGAAATTTAGCAAATTTCAAAATCTACCGCATTCGAATTGAGAAAGCAGGATTTTTACCGTATCCGTATGAAAGGGCTGGATTTTTTTTTCAACGAGAGACTTACACAGCTACGGGGGAGAGATGTGTCAATCGCCTTGTACCCTCGCGGAAGTAGCAAAGCCGACTGGAGAACAACTCGGTCGAGGTGATATGACAAACTAAGCTGCGATCAGGAAAAAGAAACGCATGTCGCGGATTCATTGTGACAGATACACACGTGAACGTGTCTCGCGTATCGATCGGCGATGTTAATCTTCCACTGACCTTATTGAATAGCGAGAGATGATCGACAAAAAGAATCCGTGCTCGCAGCGACGATGACAGCGGACAGGCAGGCAGGCAAGACGAGCGATTGCGGCTGGCAGGTGCTCGGGCAAATAGGCAGGCAATCGGGCGGACGTGAATACCGGTAGGTATATATATATATTTATATATATGTAATAACTTTCTCCTCGCGCGCGTGGATCTATCGATCCTCTTTTCTGCCTCGACGACTTTTCACGAGTAAAACAGACCGCATTTTGTCGCTCCCGTTGAACCGCCGGTCCCACTTTTCCCACCTTCGTCTTCGTACCCCACCCTCGATGGTACCATATCCTACCTTCTCGTCTTCCTCCTCCACGTTCACCATTTGCATCAGCATTTGTAAAAAATCAGAGATCATTATTTCCATCGAGAGTATATTTCCAAGTATTAAATCGAAGATTATTATCTCTTAATTTACATTTTTCAGCCTTATTATTAAAATGATCTCAATACAAATATCGTATAAAAAAGCATTAGGTATAAAAAGTCTCAATTAAAATCTTAAATTATCTTGAATAATAATAAATCAGACACGTAGATTCACAAAATTTGCATTTCCCTGTATTATGAAATAGATCTATATTATGCAACGGAAAATTATTTTTCTTAATTAAGAATGAATAATCTCATGCAGATATTCAATTAAGCATCCAATTTTAACATTGTAATAACATTATAAAACTTTAGCTTCTCACACATATGAAACATACAAAGGATATACGTACAAATTCAATGCACAATTTATTTATAATGAAGTAATTTAAATTACATGTGTAATTATTTTGTCCTTGGATAAACAGTAAGTAATATCTGTGGAATCTGAAATAGAAATCATTAGGATGAATTAATCAGACATCCTTTAGTCTTCGAAATTTATTTTATCATAATATAAAGCTTCTTTTGTACAGATAAACATAATATATCTATTCTTCATGTAATTCTTTATATAATTTTTATTCATTATTATTAAAATTAAAATTAAAAATTCAAAGATATATCAAAACACAAATTTCTTTAATCTCGTATTGTTTTTCACATTTGAAATGCATAGAAACTTTTATCACTGAGTAGATTGGAAGTAGAAGCTACCAATATGTGAATTGGATAAAACATTATTTAATTTATTCCTCAAAGTTTATCTTATTATCATTATTTTTGTTTTTAGATAAAAAACAAGTAATGTTTGTAGGGGCTGAAAAGTTGTCAATGTGTGAATTGAATCAGACATCATTTTTTTAGTCCAAGTTTATTTTATCATAAAAACATAAAATCATAAAATTATATTATCATATAAAATTCCTTTTACGGATATTTTTATCTAATTATCTATATAATTCTATCTATATAATTTTTAGTCATAATTAATACTAAAATTAAAAATTCAAAGACAAGTAATAGTGTCTTCTTTGATCTCACGTTATTATTAGCTTATGTTCAATGATTTATTGAGGACGTCATATACAAAGTTATCTTAAAAAAAAAACAAGTTTTTGTATTACAATTTATTTACGTCACGGCAATAAAAGTTTTTTCGTTTCAATTCTGTTTATACTGTTCCATACTGCGATTGATTAATCTAATTTCGTTTGAGCGTCGAAGAATAACCTCCGAAATTCTTTGGATAAAAACGATTTCCAGGGACATTTCCAGGGTTATCGATGATTACCAATGTAGATGAAGTTTGAACTTCCTGACAAAAAAAGGGATACTTACGTTACTAGTATCGTGATACTGGTTTGATGAATATTTTAATCGATTAATAGCGGTTACCCAGACAAGACAAGGCACTATCGTGGAGGGGATTGGATCCATTCACAGATACCTAAAAACATTTCTATACATAAAAATTCTCAGTCAAATCTAGATGACTCAACTTTGAATCCAAACTACTTGAGCCAGATACGGTTCTTAAAGAAATACTAAAAAGATAGGGCAAAATAAAACGAAAATTATAATTTCGCTTAACGTTTCACTAATTAATATTCCCAAAATAATTTAATTAATATTTTATATACATTTCACATGTACGCGGGTCGTCTGAAAAGTTTCGAGCCTAATATAGAAGCAAGTATTTTTTCCTTCAAATTCAATTTTATTTTTCAACAAAATCTCGTTTTAAGTCGATACACTTTTTCCAGCAATGCTCCAACCCCTTTACTCCAAATAATAGTAGATTTCTCGCTCTGCAAAATAGGCGTCTACAGATGCGATGAGCTCCTCGTTCAATGAAAATCTCTGTCCTCTGAGCCAAACTTTGAGCCTAGGAAACAAAAAAAGTCGTTGGAGATCAGATTTGGTGAATACGGTAGAATTGATCAATCAATTCGAACTGCAATTCGTGAATTTTTGCCATGACGACCGCCGAAGAGATAATGCATTGTCTTGATGGAACAGCACTTTCTTTTTTTTCAAATGCAACCATTTTTTCGCAATTTCTGCCTTAAACTTCACTGTCAAGTAATGATGCGTAATACCGTTACCTGTTTTACCTTTTTTAAGACAGTCGATGAACACAATTTTATGACTATCCCAAAAAACAATCGCCATCACTTTTCTGTCTTCGCCTTTTTCGGAACAGATTCACTTTTTGCAGTCCACTTTTTTGACTGTTCCTTTATTTCAGGAGTAAAGTGGTGAATCCAAGTTTCGTCAACAGTTATAAATGACGCAAAAAGTCCACTGATTTCGCCTAAACCGTTCTAATAGAACCTTGGAAATGTTCATTCAAATGCGTCTTTTATTCAAAGTAAGCAAGGCACTCATTACGTGGTTAACTTATATCCAATTTTTCAGTCAATATGACTGAAATACGTTCTTTCGATATGCCCACAACCTCTGCTATCTCTTTAATCTTGATTCGATCGTCGTCCAGTATCACCTAGTGAACTTTTTCGATGTTATCGGTGTTGATCGTCTCAAACGTTCATTACCAGCCAAGCTGATACAACCATGTCATCAGCTACCTATTTTTTTTCAGTGATAAATGATGAGGCAGAATCGTAAGCAGCGTCCAATTTAATTGCATATTATCTTTCAAAGAAGAATTGCAAGAATTTAATCACGGTTCCATATTCAATTTTTTTCATTTTTACAAAAACGCTGACATGGATTGACTGTTAAGTAACAATTGAGCGTCTAAAATGACCAAAATTTTGACATCTTTCAAAACATGTATGATTGTACCAGAATGATTTTGACGAGTAACATCATTTTCAATGTTGAGGCTCAAAACTTTTCAGACAACCCTCGTATGATGTGTTTTCTATTCATTTTTACTGCTTTTTTCAATTATATTACATCATTTTATATCATCTTTTATTATGCATCGTATACTATACTTATTCTAAAGAATCATACAAATTATTTTATTATTTATTTCGTTTATTTTAAATAAATTTAAATATTTCTTAATATAAAGAATCGATGTATATGAATTTCAAATATTATAATTGTAAATTTATTTTGTGTAATTCAAAGTCTCTATGGAAAATATAAAACACAATTTTATAATAACATATTTTAAATTTTGATAAAACTTAATTAAAACAAGAAACATAATAAGGATAAGAAAATAAAATGTAATAACAAATATTACAAATACATTAATATATTAATGTATTCTAATTTTAATTGTTTGGTAATTTAGATACATTTCTTGGAGATTTATATAAAAATATTCTGTTTCTTTAATTGGAAAAACTAACTGCATTGCAGAGATTTATTAAAATTTAACTTACAATATATATTAACATTCTGAGTATTGTTAAAAGATAATTATTAGTATGCGCGTGCACATACATATATATAAAAATTTTGAAACATTTATTTATTTATATGAGTTAGGATAGCATAATGTTTATAAAAATAATCTCATTTCTAATACAATAAAAATTCTTCAAAGAAAAACATGATAACAACAAACATGATAATAATTTAATCTATAATTTTTAATCTTTTTTAATTTTAAATAAATTTCTAATTAATATGTATGGAAATGTATATATGTATATATGTATGTATGTATATATGTGTATATGTGTATATCACACAAGTGTTATTTCTAGAAGCAATCATTTTCAGATCTTATTTTTCGAGAAGCTATATAACCAATTTGAATGGAATTTTAAAAACTCTTTCACACTTGAGATTAAGATAATATTAAATATAAAAACGAACCACACATATACACACATTAATCTAAAATCGTGATATAAAATCTGGTAAAATTATGTCTTATATGTGTATAAATGTGTATGTGTGTGTGTGTGTGTGTG